AATTCGAAATATTGCACAAATTGGCAAACACAGATTCAAATAAAAAAATAACGCCATGAGCAGATTTGCCGGATCGTCATATAATAAGCGTGCCAGATAGTTGATAAAGAGTCAACAGGTGGCGCCAATGTGAGAAAAATGTTTGATCTATCGAAGAATCGTTTTTTGAAATGACATCGGGCTAGTTACTGCAGATCAAAAGAATCTTTTAAATATTTAGAATAAATGAATGCATGTTTTCTTATGGTTAGTAAGTTTGGTAAATCCTGTATATGCTATGTTGTACAATGCAATGCTTTTAAGGTCAAACAAATCAATAGCAACCTGCGTGCTCGAGTACTTTCCATGTTTACTTAGGATTTACTTGGACTTGGCTGGCCAAAGCTTAGACTCAAACTCAAAGACAAATTATGCAGATATCGAGAATATACATATATAGATCGATACACATATGTTAATACATAGAAGACATATGAAAATGTTAAAACATGTCAGTCTATGATAAAGTCATTATTAATGTTTGAGAGCAGCTTTAAAAAATTAAATGTTAATATTAATTTATGGAAATAGGGTATACAAATGCACATACCATGCTTTACTTACCTGTTGACAAACAACAAATTGTCAAATGACGTTGCATTCCATTCCCACTCTCGTAACGTTTTATGCTATTTTTTTTCTTTGACCTTTTTAGTTTTAAACATAGCTTGGAAACATTTCAAGAAAAGGAAGTCGTGGAAACTAGCCACTCTTCTGGAGAATTGATTGATAAATCGGATAAAATTATAGTTTAAGCGCGGAAATCCTAACTAGAGTAATATCAAATAGAACATCAAAATCGAGGAATTTAATTTAAGTTTACGGTATATTTACAGTATATTTTGGTATATTTACGAGGCTCTGACGGTATATCTTATCGATAATTTCGATAATAAACAAATCTATCTGAACTAACCAATTTATCGAGGCATTGCACATCTCTAAGCCTATCCGAAATTTATTTTTTTTTGCGAAAACATTTGGTTAAACGGCAGTATCGATCATAAACAAATCTCATGAGTGGGCGTTCCTGAAGCAACCACGCACAACTCCGCTCTTGGTCAATCAAGTGACACAAACGAAGGCAACGAAAGACGGAAACTACGTCCGAAACGAAACGAACCGAACCGGCAAACGGCTGCTCAACCAGGTTCATCCCATGCGCGAGACAGAGAAGGAAATAGGAATCTTCGCAGCTCACGAAAAAGTCATCAATTATATTTAGGCCATGAAGAATGTGCTGATGGTGGCGGAGAAGCCCTCGCTGGCCGCCTCTTTGGCCACGATCCTCTCCAACGGACGCTGTACGGTGAAAAGAGGTTCGTTAGCGAAAGTTCAGCGGCTGGCGTGGCCTGGTCCCGGTCCTAGTCCTTGTCTGCCCTCCCTAACGTTTTTGCTGTGTTTTTGCAGGCACTGGCAATGGCTGCTCCACCCACGAGTGGACCGGAACCTTCCGCAACGAGGGCACCGTCCATTTTCGCATGACGTCTGTGTGCGGGCATGTGATGTCATTGGATTTCACAAGCAAATACAACTCCTGGGATAAGGTGGATCCCGTGGAACTTTTCGGTTGTCCCACCGAGAAGAAAGAGACCAGCCCCAAGCAGCACATGCGCACGTTCCTGGCGCACGAGGCGCGCGGCTGCGAATATCTGGTCCTCTGGCTCGATTGCGACAAGGAGGGCGAGAACATTTGCTTTGAGGTGATGGACGCTGTCCAAGGTGTCATAAGTAACGTGTATAGCAAGCAGGTTACATATCGGGCTCACTTCTCGGCCATCACCGACAAGGATATCAAGGGCGCCATGGAGACGCTGGGCCATCCCAACGAGAACGAGGCCAAGTCTGTGGATGCCCGCCAGGAGCTGGATCTGCGCATCGGCTGTGCCTTCACGCGGTTCCAAACGAGGTTCTTTCAGGATCGGTACGGCGACCTGGACTCCTCGCTCATCTCGTACGGCCCCTGTCAAACGCCCACCCTGGGCTTCTGTGTGAAGCGGCACGACGATATACAGACCTTTAAGCCGGAGAGCTTCTGGTACTTGCAGATGCTCGCCGGCCAGCCCGAGTTCACTCTGGAGTGGGGCCGTGGACGTGTTTTCAAGAAGGACATTGCCATCATGCTGCTTAATCGCGTCAAGGAGCACAAGGAGGCCACGTAAGAGCGCCATCAGCTATGCCTCTATAGCTCCATCCATTCATTACTTTCTTTTTTTCCCACTACCTCAGCGTGGAGAGCGTGAGCAGCAAGGAGGCGTTCAAAAGCAAACCGCTGGCCCTCAATACCGTCGAACTGATGCGAATTTGCAGCTCGGGCCTAGGCATTGGTCCCTTTCAGGCGATGCAAATAGCCGAACGTCTGTACACCCAGGGATATGTCAGTTATCCACGTACGGAGACCAATCAGTATCCGGAGAACTTTGATTTGCCCGCAGTGCTGCGCGTGCTGCAGCCATCTGGTGACTTTGGGGATGAGGCCCGCTTGATTCTGGGTGACATCCAGGCGCCGCGCAAGGGCAAAGATGCCGGCGACCATCCACCGATCACGCCCATGAAGCTGGCCAACCGCAGCGACTTTGATCGCGACACCTGGCGTGTCTACGAGTTCATCTGTCGCCATTTCATGGGCACCTTATCGCGTGACCTGAAGTACCGCACGACAACGGCCAAGCTGAAGGTGGGCATGGAGACATTTTCGTGCACGGCCAATGTTCTGCTCGATCAGGGCTACACCAAGGTGATGACCTGGCTAGCCTTTGGACGCGACGAGCCAATGCCGCCCTTCGTCCAGGGCACCCAGGTGGCCATCAACGATGTCCGACTGGCCGAGAGTCAAACGGGTCCGCCCGATTATCTAACCGAGGCAGAACTGATCACCCTCATGGAGCAGCACGGCATCGGCACGGATGCCTCCATACCGGTGCACATTAATAACATTTGCCAGCGAAACTATGTGCGAATCGAGAACGGACGCAAGCTGATACCCACCACGCTGGGTATTGTGCTGGTCCATGGCTATACAAAGATCGATCCGGAGCTGGTGCTGCCGACAATGCGCTCGGAGGTGGAGCGCATGCTGACGCTGATTGCCAAGGGCACGGCCGACTTTCAGGATGTACTGCGGCATGCCATCACCATATTCAAGCTCAAGTTTATGTTTTATGTGAAGAATATAGCCAGCATGGATGCCCTCTTTGAGGTGTCCTTCTCGCCGCTGGCCGAGTCAGGGAAGGCACACTCACGTTGTGGCAAATGTCGGCGCTACATGAAGTATATTCAGGTGAGTTACTGCCCTGCCCGTGGACTCTACAATATATAATCTTGCTCCATCTTCTGTGCCTCCCATCAGACGAAACCCGCTCGCCTGTACTGCTCGCACTGCGATGAGACCTACGCCCTGCCCAATGGCAATGTGAAGGTGTATCGCGAGTTCAAGTGCCCGCTGGATGACTTCGAGCTGCTGGCCTTCTCGACGGGCGTCAAGGGGAAGTCGTTCCCCTTCTGCCCCTACTGCTACAACCATCCGCCGTTCAGCGATATGCCATCTCTGGGTGGGTGCAACACCTGCACCCATGCCACCTGTCCCCACTCCCTCAACACGCTGGGCATTTCAGGGTGCGTGGAATGCCCAACTGGTATTCTTGTACTGGACAGCACCCTGGCACCCACCTGGAAGTTGGGCTGCAATCGCTGCGATGTGATCATCAATTGCTTCAAGGGAGCCACAAAGATCACAGTGGAAGGTGAATCTCTGCGGCAAACGTACATCGTTATCCTCATCCTGACTTCTATTTAATATTTTGCAGAGGCCAAGTGCGCGGAGTGCGGCGCCCAGCAGGTGAATGTCGTGTACAAATCGGACAAGTCAAAGTTCAAGGATGGCACCGAGGAGAAGATCGGCTGCGTCTTCTGCTCCAGCGACTTTTCGCATCTGGTGGAGAAGCATCGGGCGGTGGCCTCCAGGCCTGTGCGCAGCGGCGGGCCGCGCGGTGGCAAGGGTGGACGCGGCGGTGTCGCTGGTGTGGCTGGGCCTGTTGCTGCTGGCGGGGAAGCGGCTGCAGGCGGTAGAGGTGGGGGTGGTGGGCGCGGCGGACGTGGACGTGGACCGCCCAAGGACAAAATGGCCCAACTGGCGGCGTATTTCGTTTAAGTGGATCGCTCATCTGTGGGAATAGAGCAGCGTAACGGAAAGGGACTCTAGATTGCATTTACCACAATAGAAACCCTAATAAATGAAGCGAAATTTGTATACATTAATGATGATTTGGTTGCATGGGATTTAATCAGCATGGAAGCTGGTTCCCTGGAACCTTCCAGATGCAGTTAGTCACACACAGACACAGGCGCATTATTGATTACCTATAGTGTGAGCTATGGGGAAATGGCCGTCTGCTTGTACAAATGTATTTGTTAAGTACAAGTGTATGTTTTTGTCGCTGAGGCTGTTGACCAAAGCGAAGACAAACTCTCCCATGCGCCGTCAAAACAGACAAAGGTCATTTAACTTGCCAAACAAAGAGGCGTCATCAGATGTACATAAGTATGTATGTACTACATATCTGCTAATACAAGGAAATATAAAAATAATATAAATATATGTATACATATTTTCCACAAACACATATGCACGCGCAGTAGCAGCTGCCATTCTTGTGGCGGTGTTGTAAACTACCAACGAGTTGGTGCGAGCGAGACAACTAGACTGCGCTGATGCACAACGAATTTTATTTTAAATGGCTAATACAACAAATTTAGCAAAACAATTCAATTGGCCTTCATTCCTCACAAAAGTCCTGAAAACACACAACTTTTTATCACATTTTCATGCAGTGTAAAGGTCCAGCAATAGCCGAACAACACATAAGCAAAAGAATAAATTGCCCGAGAGTGAGCGAGCTAGCACGATTCAATTCGTTTTTGATGCACTGTATAAATACGACTGACTCGCCAAGAAACTGTTCAAAGCTGAAAAATTTTGTGGAGAGCGCAGACACAAGCAAGTTTTTGTAATTATTTCAAAAAGTGCTAGACTATTTAATTGAAAGAAAAATAAAAGAAATATAGTTATTAATATAAATTGTACTGCAAACGTAAATTAGGTAAGTAAAGCAATATGAAGAAGCAAGTATATTTACGGGTTTTGTTTTCGTTCGTTTAACTGCAATCAATCAAAATGGCCTCGCCAAAGACAAAGTGCAGCAGAAAAAAAAAAACTGAGGTTGTATTCGCCTGTGTATAACTGTGTGTGTACGGTACGCCTTACGTGGGGTCTGTTTTCGAGTTAGATTAGTCATTCTTAGAAATTATTGTATATCATTGTGAAATAATTTTTTATCTTCAAATCCGAAAACAAAAAGATATTAGAAATTACCCCTCGGTCATTGTGTGTGTGCCAGACCAGACAGTTTTTTTTTTGTGGAAACGGTAAATTGGGTCACGGCGCAGAAAATTAAGTGCGCCATTGCTTGCACAGATAAACACACATACACACATATGTACATAAATGCATATGTGTGTATCCATTTATACACAGAAATACAGTTACAATTTTCTTTTCTTAATTTCTCGCACTGATTAGCCAACATGCAAATCTTCGTGAAGACTTTGACTGGCAAGACCATCACCCTTGAGGTTGAGCCCTCGGACACCATCGAGAATGTCAAGGCTAAGATCCAGGACAAGGAGGGCATTCCCCCAGATCAGCAGCGTTTGATCTTTGCCGGCAAGCAGCTGGAGGACGGACGTACTTTGTCCGACTACAACATCCAGAAAGAGTCTACTTTGCATTTGGTGCTTCGCCTGCGCGGTGGCATGCAGATCTTCGTGAAGACCCTGACTGGCAAGACCATCACCCTTGAGGTTGAGCCCTCGGACACCATCGAGAATGTCAAGGCTAAGATCCAGGACAAGGAGGGCATTCCCCCAGATCAGCAGCGTTTGATCTTTGCCGGCAAGCAGCTGGAGGACGGACGTACTTTGTCCGACTACAACATCCAGAAAGAGTCTACTTTGCATTTGGTGCTTCGCCTGCGCGGTGGCATGCAGATCTTCGTGAAGACCCTGACTGGCAAGACTATCACCCTTGACGTTGAGCCCTCGGACACCATCTAGAATGTCAAAGCTAAGAACCAGGACTAGGAGGTCATCACCCCAGATAAGCAGCGAATGGTTCTTGACAGCAA